GGTTTAGGGTTCAGGTTTTAGGATTTCGGTTCTTAGAAAGGTCCCTCTGACGGCGACTTTCTTTGCAGCAATCGCCATGCCTACAGGTTGAGCCCAAGGGGAAGGGATCATTAGAGTTGGTACACGCAGAGCAACGGGTTAGGGCTAATCTAATAGGGTTCAAGTCTTGGGGCTTAAGGTTTGGAGTGCCTGGCCCGAGCCAGACGTGAATTCGCGACGCATGAACTCGTTAGGAGCATGATCCTGCGGCCTACAACTATCCACAGCTGGCTCGCAGGCCTCAGCTCAGCGAGCGAAGAGCAGCTTGCAATCCCTTCATTCGAGCGGCTGCCTTTTCAGAATTGCCCGAAGTGCAACTACGATATCGGCTACATGCGGGACAAGTTCAGGGAGAACCACATTTACATGTTTTGCAAGCGCGGCCGCCGTGAGTGTTCCTGGAAGACAAGCCTGCCCTTGAGCAGCATGCAAGAGCCCAGCTCTTCGGCACGCCCTTCCGCTGCCGCTGGAGATTCCCCTCGGCCGAGGCCAAGTGCTGTTCGGCCCAAGCCACAGAAAGCTCAGGCGCGATGGGCAAGCACAGAGACGCTGGAGGTTTGGAGCCCTCGAAGGTACTACGTGGGACGAGGTCGGGGAGTGGAGACTGCGAAGGCGACCGCCCAGTACGCATTCAAATCGGACGAACGACGGAGGCTCGCTTGGAACACCATGCAGGCCCGTCACAAGGTTTAGGGTTTAGGGTTTAGGTTTTAGGGTTTAGGGAACTTCGTCGATCCTGACTCGGACCTCGCCAACTGGCTGTACGACAAGAACCTGCAGGCTGGATTGCGACATGGACGAGGAAGAGGTTCTGCAGGAATGTCGTGCGAAACTCGCAGCAAGCGGCTGCTGTTGTTGCTACTACGGCTACTGACCCAAACAGCCCTTAACCCTCGATACCCTAGATCCCTCAACCCTGCACCCCAAACCCTGAACCAGAAACCCTATACCTTAACCCTATACAATAAGCCTTTAAGCCCTAAGCCCTAAATCCTAAATCCCCAAGTGCACGTTGCCCTGAACCCTATACCCCAAACCCACAGCCAGCCTAAACCGAACACCCAATAGGCGGATATTCGAGAGAAGTACGTTACAGAGAAGCTGCTGCCCTCTGCCCGAGCGCCCAGCCTCTCTGGAGGGACTGTAGTGCCGACCACGCAGGGTTCCAGAGGTTTTAGGTTAAATAGGGTTTAGGGTTTAGGGTTTAGGGGGTTAGGCGTGTAGGATTTCGGCTAGATAAAGGGCACTTAGGAATTTAGTGTGTCGAGTTTCGCTGTTCACGGTTTTCAGATTTCGATATGAAGGGTGTTCATGACTTGCGGATGTCGATGTTACTTGGGTCTTCCGGATCCAGTGGGTTTTGAGGTTCGATTTAGGCGAGCGAAGGAGTTTTGGAAAATGACTTTAGGGGGTCCCGGGTCTTTCATTTGTAGAAGTTAAATGACCGTAGTCGGGTATAAGTGAGTTTAGGGTTTAGGGTTTAGTGTTTAGGGTTGAGGGTTTAGGGTTTCGGGTGTATAAGTGAGCAACAAGGTTGTCTGACTGTGGTAAGTTCAGTGGTCTGCTGTGCCCGAGCTTTAGACCATAAGGCCGAAGCCTCAACTGTCGCTGGTCCCTAAGTCCGGAACCCTAAGTCCTAAACCCTAAGCCCTGGACCCTAAAGAACCTACCTTTTTAGGGTTCCTCATTATACTTTCTTTATATAAGTCCTTAACAAAGTAGGTTCTTTGGGGTTAAGGTAAGCCCTGAACCCTAAACCCTAGGCATGTCCTCTCACAGTGATCTTGTCTCAACCCAGATAGACGGGCCAAGGGGCCTGATGCTAAGCCGTCACGTATGGGCCCACAAAGCCAAGATCCTAAACCTGAACAGGCCCTAAACCCGAGGACCCTAAACCCTAAACCCTAAACCCGAGGATCCTAAGCCCTGCACCCGAAAACTCGAAGTTTTTGAGATCCATGGTATATCTCAGGCTTGTCGAGTCTTTCTTCCCTGCGCATCCCGTGCTGCTGTCATCGATGTCTCCGTTTGCGCAGCTTGTTCTTGCGTTGCAAATCAGGTGAGAAGAATCTCCTACATGAGATCCTCCTTTTATGCCAGCCATTCCAGGTTTAGGGTTTAGGGCTTTGGTCTAGGACATTTTCAGGTGGGAAATTTAGGGTATATAGGGCTTCTATAAGGCTTCTATAAGGTATATAGGCCTTCTATAAGTCTCCTACAACGGTAACTACCCACCTGAAAATGTCCTAGATTTGGGTTTAGCGTTCATGTTTGGGCTGGCGCCGGCCAGGTTCCTGGGTCTGTTGATTCTCAACAGCCGGTATGCAGTAGGGCCTATAATAGGGCCTATAGGGTATAAGGTTTAGGGGTTTTGGGTTTAGGGTTTAAGTTTCCAGCATAAAGCACCCTCTTCGGCATGTGCCACATGGGTAGTTCTGTAAATGAGGGTCCCTTTTTGGATCCCCACTTTAGTACGGCACCCTTGTAAACAAGGACCCTAAAAGGGACCCCCCAAACCCTAAACCCTAAACCCTAAACCCTAAACCCTAAACCGAAACCACCCACATGCCCCTGAACCTCGAGCCTTCATGGCTTAATAGCGAATACCCTAAGGTCCATGTGGTATATAGTATATACTTCGGCCTTAAACTGGTCACTCTATCGGTACCTTGGGGCCGAAGTACTTTCTTTTTTAGGTACATGGGCCGTTAGGCTTTGCAAAAAGGTGAATCATACCAAAAAGCTAAACCCTGAAGCCGTGAAACTCGAGAGCACGCGCCATTGAAACGGACAAGAGAACTAGCTTGGCAGCACACTGTACCCCAAACCGTAAACCCTAAACCCTAAACCCCAAACCCCCAAACCCCTAAACCCTAAACCCCTAAACCCTAAACCCGATACCCGATAAACCCTAAACCCTAACACCCCTAAAGCCCACCCGAAACCTTTTCCGGTCTGGCATGTTCGCTTGCAACAGTAAACCCTGACCCCAAACCCTAAACCAAAACCCTGATAGGGGCCTCAATAGTTACCTCTACTATTTCGGGGGCTCCTTGTTATAGCTATAGTATAATGGGCCCCAAAGCCCTATTCTAACTATTAAGGCCCCCATATTAAACCCTCAACTCTAAGCCCTGGTTTGCTGTGATACATCAGGAAAGTAATTGTAAAAAGGCCTTTAGAACACGGCGTTGGGGCCTTTCCTCATTGTGGTAGTAGTAAGGAACCCTGGGCCCCTGAACTATTAGGTTCCGTCAGGCGTCCACGGTTTAGGGTGTAGGGTTTAGGGTTTAGGGTTTAGGGTTTAGGGTTTAGGGTTACACCCGGAAGCCTAAAATATCGGAACCGGCCATGCCACGGCAGTTGGCGTGCAACCTTTTGCGCCGGCTGCGCCAGGTTGCGTTTACTCCGTTTGAAGGAACGTGCAGAGCCACCACAGAGAGAAGCTAGACCTGACCAATGCCCCTGAGCCCTATTCACATACTTAGGGTTTAGGGTTTAGGGTTTAGGGTTTCTAATAGTTCTTGTGTTGCAAACATATAGACACCGACTATCATATAACAGAATATTAATTTCGATAGGAAGTACTTGTATGTTATACCATGCATGGATCGATCAGATAACGTAAGGTAGCTTCGTATATCCTATAACATACTAGAGGATACCATAGTATGACGTGGTATGATATGACATATCAAGATGTCCCTAAACCCTAAACCCTAAACCCTAAACCCTCAACCCTAAACCCTAAACCCTAAAAGACTATAGAACTGGCAAGATATGACGCAACATATTCTGAGCCCTAAACCTGGATTAATTACCCTATTAGGGTTTAGGGTTTAGGGTTTTGGGTTTAGGGTTTAGGGTTTAGAACCCTAAACCCCAAACCCCTAA